ATATGAAATTCAGTTTGAAATTTTGTTTTTCACAAAAAATAAAATGAAAAAAACAGAATTTATAATGGATTCCCTAGATAGTTTTACTACCAACAACAACAAAAAAAGAGATTCTACTTATTATCTATTGTTTGACCAACAATTCGAGTAGTCCAAAAACTAGACTTGAAAATGAACAAAATCGAAAAAACATCATTGTAATGAAAATGTGAAAATTTGAATGCAATTCTCTCAAACATATTGATAATATCTTGTGATCGGGGAAAAAGTTGTCGCCGGCTCCATCCCAATCTCCGGGATTGTTTTTTTGTTTTGTTACGATAATTGTAAATGTTGTCCAAAATCGATTGCATCGAATAGATCGCGTGTGACCATTGTAGTTAGATATAAATAAAATTTGTTTAATAATAGACTTTTTATTTCCAATTTCATATCTTTTTTTCTCTCATCCACTATCTACCATCTATCTATCTATGTGCACCCTATAGAAATTATAATCGCGTGTCATCATATACAAGCCAAGCACAAGTCCTATTAGTCCGTTTGTCGCCTATTAATATCCATCCATTTTTATAAATAAAAGGCCAAAAAAGACCATCAAATATTCAATCTGTGGTCATAATTCAATGTCAAATATAAAAGAAATACCCCAGAAACAAATAAATACACTCGAATGAACACATTTTGTTTGTTTGTTTGTTTGATTACAACAACTTGGTAACAAACAATCGATTATTATGATGAAGATGATAATAATGATGTTGTTGATAACAATATTAACATGCAATATTTTTTTTCAACCAAAAAAACGCAAATTTAATCTATCTATAGATGATGTTTTTGGGGTTGTACACTACAACAAACAAACAAACAAACTAATCAGGATTTATACAAATAAATAAATTCAAATTTGTCCAGTGAAAGTAGCCAATGTTTTTCCCCCTCTTTTGAAACAAATCATATAAAAAGATCGATAAAGATATTTGAATTTGTACATCAATTGTTAACTTTGTAAGGATGTTTGCCTTCTTCTTTTTTTTCATTTGTTTGTTTGTTTGATAAATGAATAAGAGATTATATGGGAGATAAAATGATGGCCATAATAATAATAATAATGGTGACGGTGATAATCACATTAAGTCACGATATATACTCAGCAAAAGACAAAACAAAACAAGATCAATTTGAATAGGATCCTATTCGTTCAGCTTTTTAGATAGAAAAAAAGACACACGCACAAAATAATATGGTTCCAGAATCTTAAGTGTCTGTTTTACTTTTTTTTCACTAAATAAGTGTGATAAATAAATTGGAAATTATTCAACGAAAAAAACGATGTCTATCTATCCATCATCATTTTTATTTTCGTTCGATTCAATCAATACTATGTCAAATATGAAAAAAATCGCTATTTGTTATTTGTTCAAATTTCATCATATTTTCAATGGCAATTTCGCATTTTCAAATTTTCAGTGTTACAATGATGTCTTATACGAAACAAAAACAAAATGAAAGAAAATTTTTTCTGATCAATACTTTTTGTTTTTTGTTTTGTTTTGTTTCAAATGACAGGTAAAATACATTCGTTCAAATTGATTATCGATTGATTGTCCACAAACAAATGAATTTTTCTCCTTTTATTTTTTCTCCATTTCTTCCAGCTATTATTGTTTTTTCTTTCATTTAGTCGATTTTGTTGTTGATTAGTAAACAATGGCAATCAATTTGAATTTGAAAGTTGTATCGATTTTTTTTCATATCAAATCCATTCAGTCAGTCATTTATTTATTGATTGTATTGATTCGGTCAATACTCTTATCAATAAGGTTTGAACATCCTCATAATGATTTGTTTCGTATTTTATTGATGAAAGATGTAGATTTTTTTTTCTCTTTCATTTGCTATAATATTTGCTATATTCTATTCATGGCAGGTGGCATTTGGTAAAATTTGATTCAAAGGTGTCATACTCAATCGTTGAAATTGATTGGTGAAAATTTTTTACCTAAAAATAGCCCATTCGGATTTTTTTCGGCCCCCAACAACAACAATCAAATCAAAAAATATATTTTTGAAATGAAAATAAAAATCTATCCGGACATTTCCGACATTTTCCATATGCCAGTATTTCACCCGAAAGCCAAAAACAAAAAACGAAAAAACTCAGAGATATTACTGGCATTTAAATTGCAGTCTGAAAATAATTTATGCCGCATCAATTTCGAAATATTTCTCCTTTTTTTTATATTTTATTTTCTTTCGATTTTCGATCGTTCAATCCTAATCGAATTAGGAAACAAAATAAAACATTGTATGCACGTATGAATGAAATCAAACACAATCATATAGACGTGAATGACAAGTTAAATTCGTTTTCGAAGCTAAAATCAGAAAAGAATTCTTTCAAATACAAAATCTCATATTCACGATTTGCGGTTCGATTTACACACACACACACACATTGCTTGTTATGCATTTAGACAAAAATCAATGCAAATTAAATCAAAACTCTTCTCTATCAAACAAAAAAATAATAGTTTCCCACCATCAACCAACAACAACAACATTTTGTGGTTATGATCCGATTCCAAAATGCTAAGCACATCCATATTTGTACAAAAACAAAATAAATATGATAACTTTTTTCTCTTTCTCATGATATTCACATTCACAATTGATTGTCGAATATCGATTATGACGAAACTGATCAAACCTGTTGAGCTCATTTTCTCTTTCTCATCATTATGATGATGATGATGATAATGCTAATGAATGGCCATAATCATAAATGATTATTCATAGCTTCATTAGATTTTTGTTTTCCTTTCTTTCTAAATCGACTGATATTGATCGATCATTTATTATTATTATTATTATCGGAGATAATAAATGACATAATCATATTTTGGTTTGCTGTTTTCGTTTTTTTTGCAAATTCATTAATGATAATCAAATCCAGTTACCAAATCAAGTGTTGTGAGATGATTCATTAGTAAAACAAATCACAAAACATAAAAACAAACAACAAACTTTATCCATTTCCAATTTATTGATGACAATTTACAATCTGACAAACCGAATCTGATCCGATCCGGAATTTTTTTTTCACGGAGAACTTTATATTCTGTTTGATTGAGTACAAAATCATTAATTAAGTTTTTGTGATCAGATTTTCTACACTTGTTTGTTTGTTTGTCTACAATGTTTACATTTTTATCACCAAACAAACATTCATTCAATCAGTCAATCTAATGTTTCCTGTTGATGTTCATTATAATTTTGTATCATGTTTGTGTGTGTTCTAGACTTTGAACATCATCATCTTCTGTTATGATAAAAAAAAAGATTAATACGAATGAATAGGGTGGTAGGAAAAAGAAACACTGGCAACTTTGTCGCCATTCATTATAATAACGATAATGATCACAGAAAAGATAAAATTACGAATTATCAGGACCGATGTCTGATGAACGAAATTCTATTGTTTAAAGAATCGTGTTTTGTAATCAAGATGATGAAGAAAGAAAAGAAAAGAAATAAAGAAAAATAATTCAGCTCAAGTCAGCAAACTATTACTACTATATATAAGTCATGATGATCATCCGTGATAACAATAATGTTGTTCTAATTAATTTCTCATTTTTTTTCATGTTTTTGTTTTTCTTGTTTTTCTTGTCAAATTCTTTTATGAAAATGATGATCTGGATGGTTGCTTTAAAATAATGAAAGTTTCTTTCTTTTAAAAAAATCTTATTCATTAAAGATTTAAAGAATTGATTCAGTGATTTGATCAAGATCTTATTTCATTTCACTTTTTTTTCTGGTGTATATATCCATCAAAACTTTGTCTAAATGATCAAAGTGAAAGTCTGGAAATGACATTAAATATGATCGATTTGATTGAATAAAAATGTCGGTGATTTGGTTTGGTTTTTTTTTGTTCGTTACTCTGAACCTTTGAATGTCACCAATAATAATAATCGTAGTGACTATCCACATGTTGGATATTATTGATTGACCACCTGTAAAGTATAATCAGAATATAAAAGACATACCTGCAACATATCTGATCATAATATTGATTGACTATGCATTTTGGTGCATTAGTAGATAAATATTTATCTTATCTATCTTTTCTTTCGTTTCAGTCAGTCAGTCAAAACATGATTTCAGAAAAAAAAGTCACATTATTCATCGTCTGTTTTTAGAATCAAGGCTATCTATATATGTAGAATGTTGTCTTGTGTGAAAGAAGAAAAAGAATTCATCAATCAAACCAAAAAAACCAAGCAACGGAAAATCAAAATAATTATTGTAAATGGTTACATAGTTTGTTGTTGTTGTTTTTAATGTTCATTACAAGCCTTGTTTATTATTTTACCCTGTTGTTGTGGTTGTTTTGGATGTTGATTATGATGAACATGGTCAAATCTTTTTAATCGTTACAATGTTGTGCAATATTCTTTGAACACGATTTTCTCACACTCACATAATCATCATCATCATCATAAAAACAACAGATCTATTTATCCATGTTTTTTTTTATAAAAAAAATGGCCACCTTTATTTATTTTTTTTTTGTTCGGTGGAAAGAAGATAGGATAGGGATGTTTATCATAATAGATGTAGATGAACAACAAATGAAAAATTCTCTCACCAAATGTCAGAAATAATGTTGATTATTATGACTGATAATGAAGATGAGAAACAGTGAAAATTAAAGCAAAACAAAATGGAAAAATATTGAATTGATGATGCATCGAGCCATTATGGATGTATTTAATTCGTGTATGATAACAATTAAACACACACAAAAAAAATGAACATAATGACCAAACCTTTTGTGTGTGTGTGTGTGTGTGTTTGTTGCATAAACATGAACATGGCTAGGTTTTTTTACCTTTTTTTTCTTTCGTTGATGAAATTGTTTTCTACTTTAATTCATTAGCTTTAATGAGTGATTTATATTTGGTTTATATTTCTTTTCTTTTTTTTCTCAGGTTTTACATCATCATCATCATCAACATTAACATTAATCTCATTCATTATGACAATGTTCATCATTATAATGATCATGGTGGTATCAACCACACAAGCTGTACGTATTAATTCTATAAGTCGTCCAAAATCATTTCGTTCAGGTACAGCCAATGAAGTTATATTGGATTGTGATTTTAGTATCGATGATAATGATGAAATGTTAGTTGTTAAATGGTTTTTAAATGATGATTCACAACATATATATCAATGGATACAATCACGTGATTATCGTATATATTCGGATTTAATTAAACCATATGTGGATGAAAATTTTTTCGTTCAAGATCCAAAAACACGTCATCGTGCTATACGATTATTAAATCCACCAGCAATTTTAAGCGGAAAATATACATGCAGTGTAAGCTCATTACAAAATGAAGAAATCAATTCAACCTATTTAGTTATATATGGTAAGATGAGATGAAAAATGATGATTTTTTGCTTTCATATCTTAATCGATCGTTATTGATTGATTGATTGATGTGATTGATCTTGTCATTATTAATGATTATTTGTTGATGTTTATTTTATTTACAAAAAAAAACTAATAAAACTAATATCTAGAACCAGCACGATCATTTGAGATGGCCGCCATTGAAGATGAAGAAAATGATGATAACGATAATAATGATGATGATGGATTTAATATAACCTGTACAGCATTTGGTTTATATCCTGAACCGGAGATAAAATTATTAAAAATCAAATCAATCAATGAAACATTAGAATCATATGAAATTGAATCTAATACAACAACAATCATATCATTTCGTTCAATGACCAATGGATTTTATTCAATAACATTAATATCACATATTGAACAGAATCAATCATCTACTATGATTTCCAATAATAATAATGAATTAAATCCATCTCGTGCAAGGCTTTCATTAAAATCTCAATCATCAACATCGACAACAACAACGAATCAAATAGCTGAACATTATGAATGTCGATTATCAATACCGAATACTGATTATTATGAAGTAAAAAGATTGGCCATACAAGATGGTAAGTTTGCTTTTTTGGCAATCACGTTGCCGCCATTATCACACACACACACAAGTTATCTTTCAAATTGTAAAGAATTTTAAAAGATATTTTTTTTAAACGATACAAAACAGTAAATTATTGATCTGATAACAAGGAAAAAAAAGGAAATGATAAGAAAAAAAAAGAGAGAAGCTAAATTGAATTTTGTTGTATAAAAATCTTGGCAACAAACGACGACGATAAAAAACTTTTCAATTTACGCTTCAACAAGGTGTGTGTGTGTGTATATCACTTGCAGGCAGGTAAATCACTTTGTAAAACAAATGAGAATTTCATTTTGTCTTTTTTTCTCTTCTGCTTTTGCAAACACCAAATCTGATCCTGTTTTGATTATTGAAAAAAAAAATTTTCAATGAAAATGATAAACGCCAACAACATAGACAACAACAACGGGAAATTATTTTAAATGGCTAAAAATCTTTTCAAAGGTTGGTCATGTATTAAATATTGATTTATTTCTTTTGAATGATAATCCTGGTGATTTTTGTTGTTGTTAATCATCTAACATACTCGAGGGCATCAAAAAACACAGAGATAGAATCAATGAATGAATTTATGGATTTTCTTCCGATAATATTCTTCAGTTATCATTCCCATTCATTTTGTTTCATTTCAGAAAACAAATTGAATCAAATTTAAATTCATTTCTTTTCTCTTTGTTTGTTTGCTTCTGAATTCTTTTTTGTTGCCATAAATAAATTTCTAGGACCTCTGCACACACACACACACGCCAGTATCATCGCCATAATCATCATTTTTTGATGGTAAATGGTTTGCAACAACAAAAAAAAACAGAGGGGAAAATTTACATCAATTGCTTTTATGAAGCCAAAAAAAACCAACTAAACTAAAGATAATAGCATAGCTTTAGGTCGCTCATTCGCGTTGTTTGTAAATGTTTTATGTATGTATGGATGTTCATCATAATCATCATCATCATCAATTTATTGTGTTACCGTGATATATATGATGTTTTATTTTTTCTAGAAAAAAAAATAACACAAGACGACTAATGGTGGAACAAACAAAACATTATTCGAATAAATAGAAATTGAATTTCTCTTCCTCTATATTTCAGTCATGATGATGATGATTTTTTGTTATTTTTGGATGGGAAAAATATCCAATATAAAATATAACGACGATTCCATATTTCTTTAACAAATTTTTTTCGTTTTTTTCAAAATGTCATTTTTGCTTCATTCTGCTTGGTTTGCCAATATCTTTCCTTCATATTTTTTGGAATGTGTTTATGTCCCTATACCGAAATGAATGATGACTTTTTAAAGTCAAGAGCAGCCATAAGAGAAACATTGGGTGAACACCACTCAGCAAAATATTTTTTGATTTTCCTGAATTCGGCCAAAGGCCACACGCGCAAATATTCGTTGTGGAAGAAACCTAAATGAAAGAAAGTTCAATTAAAATGATTTTCATTTCATTTCAAAAAAACCGACCGAATTCAGGATTGGCGTGTGCATGTTGTGCTATGGTTTGTTCATTCACATCGTCCATGATGATGATTGAATAAGAAGAAAATTGAATTCATAGCTGGTGCAGCAGCAGAAATAACATTAATCAACAATAAATATTTGTGTATGATATCATTATCCATTGGGTGTTAATTGAACTTTATTTCAAAATGAAAAAAAATTCATTGAAAAATTCATTGAAATCCGGTGATTTAAAAAAATTCGGAATGTTTTTCCATATTTATCATCATTTTGCTGTTTTATTTGATTTTTTGATGGCGGCAAAACATTGAATGAATCATAGGATTTCAATAAAAAAAATTTTCATCATCATCAAATATGTCTGCCTTCTGGCCAGAAAAAAAGAGAATATAATCTCCTGGTTCGTTCATCAGAGATTCATTGGAGCAGAATAATAATAAAAAATGAAATAAAAAAAATTTATCGATATAAACCATCCAACCATTATCATAACCAAAAAAAGAAGAAAAAACGATATATCATCACCACTGTTGGTGAAATGATGATGATGATAAAATTAATTTGTCGAATAGAAACAACAAATAAATAAATCTCTAATATAAAAACTACAGAAAAGTAGTAGTGCTGATGCAAAATGATGCAAAATCTTTTTGGTATTTTAATCAAGAAAATTATGAAATTTTTCAGTTGTTCCATTGAGACAGATTGATTAGGAAAAATGAATTTTAGTAAGAATCAAAAACTTGAAAATTGAATGAATTTTTGTTTTGTTTGGTTGTTTGGTTTGATCATTTTGATACTAATTATCCTGATGATAACATTAATGATGATGATGATAATGATGACGATAGAATATTTTCCTTTAATCATACACGAAATATCTATTTTTTTTCTACTGGCAACTAAACGATAAGTTTGCTATTGAATCAAAGTTAATTAACTTCCGAAATCGATATGATCATCATTTTTAGTGTCTTTAATTTTTTTTTTGTTGATAGTGAAAAATCGTGAACATATTTATTTTAGATGAGAAAAAATTAAAAGAAATGATGAAGAAGATATCGATTGCCAATAATCGGATGGTTTCAATGGGGACAAGATTAACACACACACACACACAGACAAACTAGACTGGTCGATGGTCTATTATCGATAATAATGCCAATATACACTTTGATTATATTGATCGTAATCATCGATTATTTTTTTTCTAGTCTGGCCTAATCATTGGAAGAAAAAAGAAGAAGAAAAAAACTTGAACCATTCCGTTGAATTCTGGCTAATTCATGGTGATTGGTAAAAAGAGAAACTTTGTTCTGTACACACACATATAAATCATATCTATCTATTTAATATTACAATATAAATAATGTTTGTAACTTGCTTGTCATATAAATATAAAATGAAATTCAAATATGATCGATTATTAATTGCTTAACAGAAAATTCTCAACAGAAGTTGAAAATTTTCCTTTTCTTCTTTTTTAAAAATAGTTTTTTTTTCTTCAAATGTCAATGTCGGTTATGCAAATTAATACGGCCATAAATTTTACAGAAAGCGCCAATCCTTTAATATGCATCTTGTTTTACTTTCTTTTTTTTTCTCGTAATTTCTTGCCTTTTTTATTATTATTCATTTTTTTCCAAGAATTTTGTTGTTTCTTCTTCAGCTAAAAAAAGCTTTAAATTTTAATCAATTCAAAGACACGATAATAATTTTTTTTGTTGCCTAAATTACTGAAAACAACGAAAAGTTTCTCTCTCTCTCCCTCTCCCTATTAATATTCGGTATCGGTATTAATTTTTTTTTCTCTACAGCGATAATCAAATTCATGGCCTGTTTTTTTATTTTCTTACCCGAAAAGATTGTTGACATTACATTCAGAGGAAAAAACTAAATCTAGCTCGAGAAGAAAAAGAACACAAGAAAATTATGACAACACACAAAATTATTATTGCCATAACTATCGAAATTCTTTGACTTGATTTTATTTTTATATATCACTTATTCTTAGTCTTCCATCTCTCTCTCTCTTTTTCACTTATTCTCCGTTAGAAGATTAGCTCTTTAGTTCTTAGATCTTAACGACACGATGAATTTAAATAGTGTTGATGATTGTTGTTGTGTTGTGACATTGACTAACAAATAAAAAACAGGAAAGAATGATTTTCTATTATGAGGCTATAGGGTAGTGAGAATATTTACACCAAAGCATACAACAACAGTGAAAAACGAAATAAAGAAAAAGTCACATTTACATTTCAAATACAGAATTCTCAGTTATAGAATAATACATAATAAACGAGAGAAAGAAAAAAAGAGAATATTATTCGACAAACGAATAAAGTTCAAAAGAAACCAAAAGAAATCTTTCCGAAAATGATTATTGTTTGTTTGTTTGTTATGTGTTGTATTCTTTCGTCACCAAACAAGTTTGATTTTTGATGTTGAACAAAAATAAATAACGGGAAAAGAAGATTAGGAAATAAGCAAAAAAAACGAAAGAATATTTGTAATTCTTGTTTGAACAAATCTTAACGACAAACATGACAAAACGGGGCAATAAGAATCGATTGTGACGGAAAACTTACAAAAAAAACTATCGATTATGTGCATCTGCAGGTCAAAATCCTTTTCCATTATCACATTCAGATGAATAATAATTTACTCTAATTTTCTTTGTGTTTGTGTGATAACACCACAAATATTTTTCAATTTTATTATGAATTAAATGCTATATGTATGCTTCGACACATTAAAGAAAATAAATTAAAACCTAAAATTAGCTTCTGTAAATGTTTTTTTTTCCACTCTTTTTTTCAATGCGATTCTCATTTGAATCGATGATTAGAAATCTAAATTTCTGCTCAATGTATGTGCACCATAAATCATTTTTTTTTTCTTCATTTAATTTAAATATTTTTCTCATTTCTATTTTGTCAAAAAAAAACCGCTATCGCCTCCAATTTTTGTATTTGCATGATTTGTTTTTGGTGTGTTTTGGTAATCTCGGATCAAAATAAACGAAAACAAATTGAATTGAATAGAAAATTAATTTTCTAGAAAAAAAAAATTTAAATATACTAACAGTTTGTTTGAATTATTTTGTTGAAACTTTTCTTTTTTTTTGGGGGGAATATTACAAATTTCTAAATGATTTATTCGGAGAACAGATCGGACATTATATACACAATCTGATATATATCGATGAACAACACTTGTTTTTTTGTGGCTTGTTGTTTTGTCTACGACGGTAAATATTATTATTGTTTGACACATTCAAAGCTTAGAAACTGAAATAAAATCTTGTTTTTCCACCGCGATTCTTCATTCGCCATTATAAACACACACACACAAAGGTGACAAAGACAAATGTTCCATTTATTTTCTTCGTACACACACAAAAATTGAATAGGACCGTATGGGTGCATTCAAACAAACAAATTTTTCCAGCCTTTTTTCCTTGATATCCAAAATGGTATCATGAGGTTTCTTTCTTTTCTTCATTCATTCACCGGCTAGGCCGGTTATTAATTTCTTATTATTTGCTTGAACGAAATCTAATGAGATTTGACCCATGAGATTTTTGTTCCATTATTATCTACTTTTTTTCTATTTGTATTTACAGTAAGTCAAGTAGCAAGGAAATAGGTAATCAAAATATTCAAACATTTATCCGTAAATAATCATTTGTTATTCTATACTATTGTTTGATCGGATATTGGGTCTACCCAACCATTGAAAAGAAAAGAATGGACAAAATCTACATGTTGTCTAAAAATTGATCGAAAAATAATAACAAACAACAACAACAGAAAAGGTGTTCAACCATTTAAAGGATCGTCCATAGGGTCCAACTGTGTGTTAACCTTTTTTTCTTTTTCTTTCTTGGTTCCTTTTGTACCAAATCTTGTTAATCTTTTACACAATGATGAACAAATGACAAACATATATAACAATAACAATGATATTGAAGAAATAACCCAAAGGTATACAATTCAAATCAAATAACACGGTTGATCTATTTGAAAAAAAATAGAAGAACAAAAGCACTGAAAACATATGCAACATATGGGGTAATAATGATGATGGACACCGAAACACCAAAACAAAATCATCAAAAAAAAAAAATTTACTTTTTTTTCTCCAATCATGAATTCTTGAAAAATCTTGAACAAACATTGAACATATAGAGGTCACTGTTTTTATTTTCTAATGAAAATATGAAAAACGAAAAACAAACCTCTTTGATATCTCTTTGCGATTCTTGTTTGTTTATTCATCATCATCTGGTTCGGTTCAATAAATTTGAAAATTTTCTCACTGAGAAAAAATAAAAAATTCAAATAAATAAATGAATTTCCAATTCATCTTCAACAAATTCTTTCTTTCATTTATTTATTTGAATTTTTTACTTTCATTCATTCAATTTCATGGTTTTCTATTTGTATATTTATCATTTATATGGAAAATACCATTAACCAGAATAGGATTCACAACCGGTTGAAATAAAAAAAACGAAGATGTGAAATGAAAATAAAATGACAGAAAGGAAAAGCCAGAAATTTTTCATTTTCTTCTTCATCTTCTCAAGCAAAATTTACACATCACTGGCCATTCAATCATTTTTTTCTTTTCCTATTCGTTTCTATAGAATTTTCAAATATTTTTTTTATGAGAAAAAGAATGGCCAAAACATATTTGAGAGTGAGATGAAAATAAAAATGATAGAAAATGAAATGAAATGTTTGGTTTATTTGTTTGTTTGTTTGTTGTACATTTATGTGTGTAAATTCATCATTGTTGTTGTTGTTGTTGTTGATGATGAATTTTTATATTTTTCGATTCTTTCATGAAACGGTTGAATGCATCACTATATCGTGCCGCTACTGTTTGTTTGTTTATTATCATTATTATTATTTGAGAAATTCTACTTGTAATCACTTAACGGTTTTCATTTTTAAAATAAAAATAAATTTCCATTATAATAGAAAATTGGTTATGAATTATGAATCAAAATTTGTTGATGATGATGAAGGAAAGAAAGAAAAAACTAATTTCATTTTTCTCTATTTTTTTCCCTGCAAAATTGAAGGTTGGCGAACAAAATGGCGTTCGAATGATGCCGCATCAACAACAACAACATTATCATCTTTGACATCGATATTATCAGCCATTTTCATAACATCAGGTATGTCACACACACCAAAAAAAATTTCTTGTTTTTGACATTTATGGAATGCTAGAATTCATGTGAAACTAATTTCAACATTCAATGTTTATTAATGTGTAAAATATGTTTATTAAATGGAATTTTTTTATCAAACAAACAAAAAATATGAAACAACACGTGAAACAGAATTGTCTATTTTTTCCGCCATAGATATTGTCAAATAATGCCATTTATCTATCGTTCAAATTTACATGATGATCAAGATGATGGCCATTTTTTCTTCTTCTTCTTCTTGATGCTATAAATATCTTAAATTATTAAGCGTAGGCTATTTCAACTGTGACATTATATATGAATGTCAAATGTCACATTTATAATAATGTTATTCATTCATTTTCCATTCATAATGATGATGTAAAGATGGATGTGATCCCATATATATTGGGCGAGGTCGTCATCGTCATCATCCTCGTAACATCAGTTAGTCGTTAATTTTCAACCAAAGATGACAATTTTTCTTTATCATTTTTTTGTTTTTGTTTTATTATGATGGGGCATTATTCTTCTTTCGACCAATGATTTGGTGTAAATGAATTTTTCGTTCGTCTTCTTCTTATCCATACAACAATAATGTCAGGCTTAATTCGTAGCAGCTTTTTGTTTGTCGAAAGAAAATTTTTAATAAAATTAAACAATAATAATCAACTTGATGAAAAGCTATGATTGTCAGCATATTATGTAATTATATCGAGGAGCAGAAAAATTATTATACAAAAACTTTTTGGGTGTTTACCAGAATTTTTTTATTTTTCTAAACAAAAGTTTCGCTTCACTTGAATTGAATGGAATGACATCGAATGAGAATCTTCTTCTTTTTAAAATCACATAACACTGTTTGCTTCATTGATTTTAAATATAACCTGCTATATCTATGTGTGTTTGTGTGCATGTGACACATCTCAACCCACTCCCAAAGTTGATTTAAATCTACTGGACGATAAATTAAATTTTTTTTTTAATTTTTGTTATTGTTGGTTTATGCATTACACATTGAGAACCAAAAGCAACCATCATTCCATGGCTAATTTAGATTTATCTTTCTTTCTTTTTTTTATGAATATAATCTATTTCACACACAGAGAAAATCTTTCTTTTTTTACATAATCAATCAGTCAAGAATGCAAAAAGAAATCTAATTTTATTCATATTATCAACCAATTCGCTGCTATAGACAAAAACAAAAACAAAATTACGATCCATATTTGATCGAAAATTGGATTTTCTTTTTTGATTTTTTTTGTTCCTCTAGTCAAATTCTGTGTGAATTACAAATAAGCAAATTCGATAAAGATTGACAGTAGAGAATCTAATGCCAACTTTCTCTGATTTCCTTATTCCATCATCATCATTCTGATCGTGATTAGATTTTTAACAAAAAATTCAAATATTTTTTTTTTGACAAACTTTTTTTTCAACAATGTCTTCATTTCACAAACGTGAATATAAAACTAAAGAAAAATTCTGTGTTCCAAATCTTTAAAAAAAAGTTAAAGAATATGGCCAAAAAGCCATATATATTCGTTTTTGTTTATCCCAAAGACAGTAGAATCTTCATAGTCATTCAGTCAGTCAGTCATAACATCATTTCATATGACAGTTAAGAAACATATTGAAATATTGCATAGCTACTTTTCATTTTTTTATTAGATTTCTTTTTTTCGCATGGATTTTTGAATTTGTTTGTTTTTTTTTCGGTTGAAAAACATTACAGTTTATTTATGCGAGAAAAAAACAACAACAAAATTTGTGGTAGGATATACAACCGTATCTGTGTGTGTGTGAATTTGCCAAACTTAATGTTTAGGGTAGTTAATCAACCAAAAGGTACATTTGACATGATAAGTTATCATCATCAACATCATAAAACATACATTATTACTCTTGAAAAAACAGATTCTTACAAAATGATGCAACCAGATTTATGGACAACCAAAATCTGTACAAAACTGAAAAATCATCACTCTTTGTTAAAAGATGAAACATTTTTCTTTTTCTGTAAAATTCATGTAATTCACCTTATCCATAAACACTCACTCGAAGTTTTTTTTATTTGCATCGAATGACATTATTCGGAAACTTTTCATGTAAACTTTATGGAAAAGAAAACTTTCAAATTAATTTATCATTTTAATGAACCAATCATTCAATTACGCTATCAATTTGTTGTTTTCAACAAAAGAAAAAAGGAAACAAAAACACTTCCTTCAATTGTATTGATTAACAGCAATCAACTTTATTTGTAAAAAAAAATTCATAGAAACGATTCATAGAAAATCGATCCATCATCGGTCATTTTTTTCTTCGAAATATGATCATTGTATCTTTCTATATGATGATGACATAATCCTCAATTCAATGATTGATTCATTCCATCAATTGATTGCATATTGTTAACAACAACAATAACAAATAAAACAAACCACAAAAAACCAACTAACTAACTCTACACCAACGACAATGATTCATATGATAATAATAATAGGATCATCATGTTGTTTATGTCAAATATAAATGATTTACCCTAGAATTTTTTTTTTGTTTTTGTTTTTCAAATGACGTCGTTGACCTTTGTTCAATGTCGATAAACAGAAGAAAAAAAATGACCAGCATCATTTTTTTGGGAGCAATCTAACAATGATGTTATGACAGCAAGGTACCCCCTCTCTCTTTCTTTTTTCTTCAAATAACACACACAAGCGATTGTCGTTGATGATCATCATATGTCAAAAAAAAACAAAACAAAAACATTATACCCTACTTAGTATCATAACATTATTATATATCCATTCCACTCTCATACATACAGGTCAAATACTGTTGTTTGTATGATATGATTAACAGGTTGTAATTTTTGTTCCTGTTCTTTTTTTTCCATTGCCTGTCATTTATTGTTGTTGTTGTGATGCTAATAAAAAAAAAGTTAATAAAAATGCTATACTATCATCAAGGTGCAATGATTGTTGGTTACTATATCACTATCATCATCATCATCATCATCATATACTTTTTACTGTGTTGAAAATTTTTAGCCATTGGTCATTTTCATTGTATCAATCATCAAACTAATCATCATCATCATCATAATATATAGACTGACAGATTGATTGTATGTGTGTGTGTGTGATTGTAAATGTCATTCACCAAATATATATCCATTGGCCATAATAATTTAAATTCAAATCAAATTCAGCAACAACAAAAAAATTAAAATTTATGAATCGTTTGAAATGAAATTTTCACTTCAAAATTCGTAAATTATATTCAAATAATAATAATTAGCAATGATATCATTGCGAACATGATTGTTTTACGTGTTATTTATCATTTTTTTTGTTGTTGTTCTGATTTACTCTGAAACATTTACAAGATGAGAGAAAAAAAATGCGAACCACAAAGTGATTTACATTCATTGCTTTTTACATGGGTGGTGGCAATGGTTGGTGACCAAAATGAATGTTGTTGTTGTTTTTTTATCTACCGTGACCATGATGATAATTGATTGCCTAACTAATATTTATTGGTGGTCTTGAAATGTTCAACCACAAAACGAAAGTGCCAAAAAAAACGAGTGCTATTGGCAAGTTGTAAGAAACAAAACAACAACAACGAAAAAATTTATCTGTTATCCACGAAATCGTAAATTTTGTCAATGATAATCCATCTTTTGCTCATTCATTGACATGTGATGATGATGATGATGATCATGTATATACATTTATTCAAAATTTATTACAAATAACTCAAAAGTTTTAAAAAAATCGAAATTCTTGTGAAAAACGAGAAAATTCCTCATCATGTTTCGCCTCATGTAAATAAAATTTATAGACATTCTTGTGAATTTGTAACTGTCTATTTCTCTCTACTCTATACTAATCAATTATATCAAAGTTTACATTGTAAAATCAATAAATTTTAGCTAGTAAAACCAGAAAAAAAATAATAATATTAATAAATAATTCTCACTCTTATTATCTATCTTTTTTTTCTTTGATAGTGATCATTGGATTTCGATGGTAATCAACATTTGTATATTGGGACGGATATTACAACCAAACCAGAATAATTGGATCAATGTAGACAACAAAAAAAAAGTGTAGAATCAGGCCATAAAACCACAATCAACCAGACCTTTTGGCCATAAAAAAACGAACAAAAGCAAACAAGAATTTTTCGGTTGATGGTTAAACAAATGTACACCTTTTTTTAATTAAAAAACCTGAAGTTATGAACTATAAATTTTTCATCCGACCCAATTCAATTTATATATCAAGAATCGTCTTCCACCTTTTTTTTCAATCTATTCATTCATTCAATTTGTTTTTGGTTGTTCGAGTCGAAACTCTAGTCTATTTTGCTATCGAAATTCTGTTGTCAATCCATTTTCATCATCATTTCATTCATTTCATTCAACATCCTCATCATAAATATCTTTTAATTGATTCATCTTTTTCGTCTCATCACATCCGATTGATCATCAATTTCCGTTGAAATGTTTTTTTTCTTCTTCTTTCAATTTATTGTACTTAATATGATTATTAATCTGTTGTAAAAAGAACGAATCTTCTGTTTCTCTTTCTTTTCATTCAATTTTTCTCAATTCAATGTATTTCCGTTTCAATTCTTAATCTTTACAATTCTTTACAATTGAATGTAAGTTTGTTTTACAGTCAATGTCATCAGATCAGAGTTTAGTTCAATTTATCACCTTCTGTGCCTCTCTCTCTCATTGTAAGTAGATGATTTATATTTTTTTCTTTCTTCTTCATCATTTTATCGATTACATTTCATCACTTTGTACATATTATAAACACCCTCTCTCTCTTATATTTTCTTCCCCAATCGATCAATGTTATTTGTATTTTTTTTTAAATTTTTTTCTTCTAAATAAATAAAAATTATTATTTAAAAAAACTAAATTTAATCGATCGTATCGCGAATGTTGTGAAAATTAAATCAAAATAAAAATGGACAACAGATACCATTATCATCATTGAAATGATGCAAACAAAACAAAAGTGACAAAATAATAATAAAATCAAAGTGTCAGACAAAAAAAATCATCTTATTACATTAAATGACATTACTTTAGTTTGATTGAGTTTGATTGTCATTCAATTCTACGAGAATTGAATTGACAAACTGAATTGACAAAACGAACGAAAGTAATATCGAAACGGAACTCATACAAAACAAAACAAAATATTGATGGCTGTCAATCGATCGATTTCATATCGATAACAAAGTTAACAAAATAAAGACAATTGTTATATCCTATTGTTTATTGTCAAAGCATATTTGTATAGCATCAATATGATTAGAATCTTTTTTTTTTTTGGTCACATCATAATTCTTATCATGAATTGTTGTGAACTTGTTTTTTTTTCTACAGAAAAACTTTTCATCAAATCTTTTTGGTTGCGTAATAAATTTCGAAAAAAATGATGAGCCAATCTTATTGGAAGAATTCTGTATTCGGGATTCGACTAACAAATAATTCCTGAAGCTATGCGAAAGTGAAACAAACAAACAAACAAATGATTAGTATTATGGCAATGAAAAATAAATATTGATACAAATAAGACAAAAAAAACTGATGTTCATTAGTTTTTGTAACTAAAAACGAATATAAATCAGTCAAGAAAATTTTGTAATTAATAATTGATTCAACAATCTTTTAGTATCCAGTACCAAAAATTGGACGATCAAATATAAAATTATTATTATTTTTTTATTATTATTGACCTACCACCAAATTCTCTTTTTCTCTCCCAACAACAAAACAAAAAATGAAAAAACTGATATCAAACAAATGATGGAGAACAACAACGATAACAATGATGATGATTATAAACCCAAACCAAACAAATTTTGAAAGAAAAGAAAAATAATAATAAACGATGGAACAAAAAAAACCTACATGTTTCGAATGTTAATGATCAACATCATGTATATAAAAGGAAAAAACAAAGAATTGGCCAAAAGACTATTTTTTTGAAAATGTTTTTTTTCTGTTTTTTGTTCATTGGTTTAATGGAAAACGAAACCAACCAAACCAAATAAAACAAAACAAACTAACCCGAACATAGAATCTAAACATGAATTGAAATTGTATATGTAAGCTACAACAATTACAAGTTCAGATGATCATCATGATACCAGTGATTGTAAATTACAATTGTATTCTAACAAGCAAAAAATTTTTGTATATTTGGATAAGCAAATGTTAGACTTTTTGCTACTAAGAATAGATAAGATTGTGAAGAAATTTTTTGGAAAAATTTCTCTAAAACGATAACAACAAAGATAATGAGAATTTTTCAAAATTCATAATGTAGTTATAATGAAAATGAAACAAGCGGGAAAAAAAATCTTACCGCCAGGATAGAAGTCATCTTTTGATAACGTTTCACTGATGCTGCATTATCATCATCATGGCCATAATCATTAGTGATTTTTTTCCATTTTAAAACTCTTTTTTTAGTTTTAACTAAAGTTTTCTTTCCAGCAACAACAACAACAGTAAAGAAGCCAACACTCATTGATTAGAATAAACATTTATTCTTGATTCAAACTTCTTGAACAAAAAAAAAAATAGGGAAGGAAGGAAATGATCAAACTATAATTCATTCTTACAAGAGAAAAAAATGTAAAACGATGTATCAAATGGATCATCATTATCATCATCATCAACATCCATAATGATGAATGAATAAATACATCATCATCATAAATATACGGACAATGGCCTTATTTTTGGAAGAAGAAAGAAAAAACTTTCGTTTTACATTCATAATGATGATGATGATGATGATGGTAATTTAAAAACTCATTTTTTTTCTACAGCTTAAAAAAAATTATTAGATACATTATATTCCTGTAGAAAAAAATTATCAAGATTTAACAGTATTCAAAATTTACAAGGCTAATATATTTAATTATTATTATTATTTGTATACGATGATTTTTTTGGCCATGAATGGTCAAAATGTGGAAACAAAAAACGTGTCAAAAAACAATTAGTAAAATTGAAATTCATCATCAATGCGGCCATAAAAATATTACTATTTCTTTTACTTATGTCGCGAACATTTCATTTGCCTACGTGAATATTTTCGGATCACTGATGATGATGATTATGATTATAATCAAGGAATAAAAAAATTGGTCATGTTAGACATTCATCATTTAGGAGAATTTATCAATGAAAAGATTGGATTGCAAATGTTTTGTGTTTTGGGCAACAAAAGACAATTAAAATCAATTAACATGAATTATGGTGTCATTTAATTAAGCGGTTTTTTTGCATCCATTCAAAAAAATGGTCTTCAAATTTAGCCTTTTTCAAATGAATAAGATTACAAACCGAGCTTGTTGTTATTAAAAATAACATTATAACAATGGCAAGGGAAAAAAATTGATTCATTTGGATAATTTATTTTCCCAAACTTGGCAGCTATATTCCTTCATTTTAGATTTTTATCTTTAAAACAACTTATCAAACTATAAACTAACTACTACTATTTTTTTCATCTTTAACAAAGAACTGACGACATTAATAACCGCAAACTTTATCATTAATAATGTTGATGTTGTTGTTGTTGATGATCATGTTTCATCATTGTTATTGTCGTTGGTGGCCAAAGCCATTGTTCAGCAATTGGATTTATTTACTATTGATCGTAACAAAAACATTTATCATTGTCGATAATCATACACAATTATTGATGGTTGAATCAATAAGAATTTTACGTTATTTTGATCAACATAAAACTATTGATCAAAATGATCATCATCATCATCATCATAGAATTGTTGAACAAATCAAAACATTGATTGGTAGTAATTTAACATTGGATTGTCATGTACAGCTTGAATCGAATGATCGTCTTTATTCATTAAAATGGTATCGACAATATAATGGTAGCTATTATGAATTTTATAGTTATAGTAAGTATTTAATAATAATCTTTTTGTTATTATCGAATCTAATCAATATCAATAGAATCGATTAGTTAGTTGAATTCAACCCTATGTATCCAACAATCATTTTTACAAGCCAAAATTACAGGAAATATAATTGAATTTCATTTTATTCAATTCAATTTCTAATGATGTTTTTTTTAAATAAAGACATCATTCATTCTTTCGATATTTGTATGTGTGTCTTACAGGACAACTTGAGAAAAAAAAGAGATTAAACTATTGGAGCAACCAACTGTCATTGCTTATTTATATTGATGAGCTTTCTTCTTTCTCTAACAACCAAAAATGTCTATCTCATCATTCATTCTACTTAGACATCCCTTCATTCATTCAATTATTAACCTATACCGGGCCCAATCGGCTATTCATTCATAATGTCGATATGATTTATGTTATTATTATAAAATACAATTGAAATGTCTTTATTTCAACAAAATACAAAATTCAAACACAATAGATGGGAAGGAATTTCTTTTCTTTTCTATTCCCGTTTTGATGTCGATCAATAGAATTGATGACTACGTTAATTTTTCTCTTTTTTGGCTCGACTATCAAACTTTGAATGATTTGTTCCATTCTATAATGTCTATAATTTGAACATCTGGCCAATATTGATCGACATACATCACTGTCATGAATAAAATTCAATTTGAAATGAAATTAAGTTTCAATTAAATTCAACTAAATTTGCCTGCTAGCATTGTAACATTTTTTTAATATTAAATATTGATGATGTTGTTAATGATGACATCAATGATTATGGCTATCGACAAATAATGACAGTCAATTTTCTTTTTATTCATTCATTCCGTAACTAATTCATTCGAATTTGGGCTACTGGTTTTTATTTTTTTTTGTAGCAGTGAAAAGTATTCCATTTATTCAAGAAGAAATTGATTCATTTAGTTAAAAGATAGGTAGGTAGGTAGTGATAATTTATTCTTTTTGGTGACATACAACATTAATTTGTGACATCTGTTAGAAATATGAAAAAACTTGATGCAGAATTTTACATGTAAAGTAATTAATTTGCCAAAATGATGCAAGAATTAATAAAAACCTCTAAGCTACGAATTATTCAATCAATCAATCAAAGTTTTCATTTTCATTCGATTTAATTAACTTGTTCAATTAATGAGAAGAAAGAAAAAAAACCACAGATTTTTTTTTGCCAAAAAAAAATTCGACAAAATAGATAAAAGTAATAGCAAATAAACGAAAATAGCAGGAGAAAGAATCGATTAATTATTTGGGCTGATCTAATATCATCTATAATAACATGTTTGTTTAAATAAATCCATAGTTTCAAACTCAAATGCCGAACATCAGCCGACAATTCATCATAAAACATTTCCAGGCATTCGATTACATCTAATGGATGGTTGGCAAATTAATGGCCAAATAATTCGACTTGATCAGGTTGATTTTGATAGTGAAGGTATCTATCGATGTGAGGTGATTAGTGATGAAATTTTTCAAGTTGATCGTAAAGATATCAATGTAACCATCTTAGGTATGTATGTATGTATGTGTGTATTTGACCTTTTAATAATCATCAGCTTTCATCAATGCCAAGTGCCACCAATGGAAGCACCGCGAATAATTTATCCACAAAAACAATACCGCTTTGGTGAAATTGTTCAATTACAATGTATAATGAATCCACCAGCATTGAGCATCATGAAATTCTTATCATATCGAATTCAATGGTACATCAACAATGTAGCCATATCACCTATAATGAATTCGATGAAAAATTGGACTGTAAATGTTTATTCTTATCAGAAAATTAATCACTTGAATAGATTGAAATCGAAATCGGATCTATCATTAAACGAATCAATGTTGTCGAATGAAATGGATGAAAATAAAACCATATCAGATCATGAAACGACAAGTCTATTGGAATTCATTGTCGGTGATGAACATCGTCGTTTTAAAGGATCAAATCATTTTATTGTTGGCTGTGCTGCTGAAATTTCATCAATAGAAAATGTATCATTGAAATCTGAACCTAGTCAAAATGCAGGTAGGTGCAGCTATTATATCATTTTATGATCGCCTAATTGATGATAAATCAATCGAAATGATTTCGTTTTTCAACAAATAATATCATAAGACAAATTCATGTCCATTAGCTTAAAACATTTTTGATTTATTAAAAGTAAAATTTTTGTTTTCTTTTTTTTTAATTCAAATTGTGTAGATATTTCAAAGCCAATAATCGAGGGTCTGAACACTGAATATCAAATCGGCGATCTTGTTCGTGTTAGATGTTGGCTGCCAGCAAATAAATTAACCATAAATATTAGAATCGAATGGATAATTAGTGAAAAATATAAGGTAAATTTAATTGCATTGTCAATCAGAATTTTTAAAGATTTTTATCCACACAGTATATACCGGCCAAAATGACTAAAGAAAAGAAACGTGGCGGTTATTCAGTAGAATTGTGTTTTCGATTAACGAACAAACATCTTGATGATCAAGGTTCATTTTCATTGAAATGTAGAAGTATTCAAAAAATGAAAATTGATAAAATCAATTCCACACAATCATCGACCATTAAAAATGATACCGAAGAAAACAAAACAAAATGGCCTGCAATGTCTACCTCATTTGAAGGAGCAATCATACCGATCGTAGTCATTCTGGCTGTTGTAATATTTGGTTAAAATTTATACGATTATTTAAAATATGTTTTATGCTGATTTATTTTATTCAATTATATATGAAATAATGATTAAATTAAATGGATACAATGAAATGAAATTTTCAAGTTGAAACTTTTTTTAAAAAAAGATCAAATTATGCACAAACGAAATTTAAAGAAAATGAAAAAATTAGAAAGAAGAATATTATGACCAAATGTTAATAAAGATAGAAACTAATCGTATTTCAAACAATATATGTTATGTGCAAATATTTTGTTGATAATAATGATGGCAATGAGATTCATTTATGATGATGATCAAAAAAAAAAATGCTAAATCGTTGATTTATATAAGTATCACAACTGTACGTCAATTTATATTTGCGTTTTCGAAAAATGGTTCGATTGATGATGCCACAGTAAAATAAAATTGGTTCACAGCAATATGGATTGAAGTTTCAATAGTTAGAAGGCACGGAACAAAATGATAAAACTGAAATGAAAAATTGTGGAAAAAAATAAACACAATTGGTTATAAATGAAATAATAATACACATACCAAGCGATTTAATCATTGAATTGAAATGATTGATTTTTATGCAATATTGCCATGCTTCCCATACATATTGATGAAATTTCAAAGGCGCGGGCGAATGCAATGTTGAATTTTTATACAAAATAAGATATGTGTAGGAATGGTTGATATTTTCGAATGAACCATTTATGATGATTTTTCGTCAATAATTATTGCTTGCCCATTTAGAATTCATTTACATATGAATCGATGCGGCAGTATAACGTGTATCGGTATTCCACCGCCAAGCTGATGGACGCCAACGAATCAAGAATAGTCCTGATGATGATGTAGGATAGCGAAATGCGTAAAGAATCCATAAACTTACTCCAAGAACAAGACTAATGACAAAGAATAGACTTATTGCTAAGGAAGAATGAGCCATCGATGCTCGATTTTTACTTGATGCAGATATATTTCCACCAATACGTTGTTCTTGAGTATTGTACTCTAGATTTGTAAGATTTTTCTTATCTGAATGAATGTCAATATTATCTGATGATGGACCATTAGCATGGTGTTCTGTTTGACAAAAAAAAAGATTTTTGTCAATAAAACTAAAAATCCCACTAATATTCACTTACCATTGATGATAGCACTTGAATTGGAATTGTGAAAAATGGTTGGTGATGGTGTAACTATGTTTGAATTGCCATTAGTTGTTGATTGATTGGATATTGGTAATGATGGTACTAATGGAGCTGCACATTTACCAACTTCGTTGATGGCATCGTGATCACAACGATTTGCAACCCATTCTTGTCTAAGACGATCATAACCATCTGAACAACGTTCAACAGAATCACACCATACACATGAGAATGATGAATTGCCTGTCAAACATGAATGACAATCTCTGAATTTACTACAAGCTGTAAAAAATATCAAAATTACTCATAAATGATAAATCTTTAATTGGATGTTAACATACTTGGTAATGCCTTCAAGAAAATAGCCGTACCACTACGGATATTTAGCTTTCCTTCATTTTTCCTTAAATCAATTTTATGATATTCATAGATGGTTTTACGACGAACAACTACATCGAATGGATAAGAATTATTAAAATTTGTGAATTACATTAACGAAATGACTTACATATCTGTTGTCGATGAATGAAATAAGCATCCGACACACCCACTTTAACTGGATGTTCATTTTCATTAATTTTATCAATCAACACAGGTATTTGTTTATAGACGAATGCAATATCACCATTCGAATAGATTGAACATTGAAAGGTGAATTCTTTATCAGGATCACTTTGTAATCTGACATTATCCCATTGTACAACAAAAACTGTCGAATTGAAGCCATATAAGATTTGGGCACGACTTGAATTTCTCGTATCAAAATTAGCCATTAATGGAGCAATATATTGTGTAGCAGCTAACCATGCATGTACATGTTCACCCATGTAAAGAAAACCACCAGTCGCAACGGTTATTTTAGTCAAATTATGACCATAGAAAGAAAAATTGAATGGTAACGATATGGCCGCAGCACGACGATGTGAATTTGACAATACTTCATGTTTATAATTGCTGTCATTGAATGATTTTACATCGATCCATAAATTCATAGCTTTTTCCGGATCTTGAATGAATTCCATTTCAAAATATGAAAAATTCATTTTCAATACGGCATCGGATTTAGTGCGATTAGTTTCCTCTTCATATTCATGAAACGCTTTATTTTCATCGAAATCTTCTTCCGTTCCGGTGATTGTCGTTTCATCTATTGTTTGATTAATCAGATCACGACCATTATATGATGATGATGATGATGTTAATTTTGTTGGCTCTAATAATGCTGATTGTTTCATTAGTTTGGCATCCAATTTTTTATCAAATAATGTTGCTTTTTTAACAGTATTTTTGAATTTGGATGTTTCAGATTCTGGAAAAAATAGATAAAACTCAATTAGTAAGATTCATTTAAATATGAAATCAAAATCAAACTTACCACCATTATCCAGGCAATGTACATATATGATAGATTGAATAACTATCATCAGAAGCAGTAATAAAATTGATGCCAACTTAAAATTATCCATGATGATGTTTCTTATATTCAAATATTCGAAACCAATGAATTTTGTTTTCGTTCAACCAAGTTCAATCTAGATCTGTAACAATGAATATAATAATTAATTTAATATCACAACGATAGCAAGATATTATAAAATTAAAAAATGTCAAAGTTGATTATAAAATGCCAATACTAATAGAAAGGAATTCCAATTCAAAAAGGATATTAAACTTGATGACGTGTTTTGTTTGAAGATATATGTATGTCATGTACTCATAATTAACTAAAACAACAATGATTCCAATGAAACTACGACTTTATTCAACAATCATATATGATGACTTTGACAAGATTTTTTTTCTCATTTAATGTTCGAATTCCTAACCCCGATTATCGTCATCACAAAAATAAGCTATAGAAAAGAACCCGATTTGCAAGAAAAAGTCAAAACATACCAGATTTGAGTCAGAAAAAAAACGGGATAGTTATAATCACAGAATGATTCGGAAATCTTGAATTTTTACACAGTACACCACTATTCACGAATAGATCGATTTCGATTAATCAGTTACAATTAGGATGAGTGAAAAAAATTATTCGTTCTTTTCGTTAATAATATGCGTTTTTTTTCTTCTTCTTGGCCTTAGTTGTTTTCGTTTTTTTTTGTTTTCTATCGCCCGACGAGTTGATAAATATTGATGATGCTTATTGCTTTCATCAAGAGTCTTTTCTAAATAATATTATGCAGCTAAACACCAACAGTTTATTAATGTTAGCTAACGATGTACACAAAAAGAAATAGAAAAACAAATGATGATACGCATTTCCTTCATCATCATCATCATAGCTTGTTGCATCACTTGATATGGATATGTGTTTTTTTTTGCAAAAAATGAACAAAATAATTCACAACACAACGTTTTGTTTTTTGATGACACCAACAAAAAAATGATTCGAAAGGTTTTTCTTTCACATCAAATACTGATAATTAGAGAAAAAGAAGTTCCTGAGAATTGTGACCATTACCAACCTATCATTGAATTTCAATGTCTACAAATTTGGAAGAAATTTGTCCAAATTTTGTTGCTGTTGTTGTTTGATGATATTATAAGATAAATGGCCACCGTCACAAATGAATGACGAAGCGATTAAGTTGAGCAAACGATTCTTTATACCGATGATGATGATGATAATGATGACGAATGATGGTCAAATGTGAGAAACGAGGACACAACCAAACAACAACAGAAAAAAACCAACAGTATTATGGTTATAGCTTGTTTTAATGTTTCGTTGTTGTTGTTCTTTTTTTTTGTTTGTTATCAACATACAATAATGTCAACCCGATCCATGGAAAACGAATCAAAACAGATTTTTAATGCCAATATTCAACAACAACAACAACAACAACAACAAAAACACACAAAACATATAGCGCAGAATGAGAAATACAAGATAAGATATTTTTGGGAAAGAGAGAACTCAACCACTCACATTTTTACGAATTTGTTCTTGATGAGAGCGAATGAGATCGTAGTAGTGGTTCATTTTAATGAATTTTTTTTCGAACACACACAAAATCCTGGTCGAAAAAAAAATTAATGCCGACATTTGTATTCTGGCTATTATTGTTACTCTGCAGATGAAACAATGATGATCCTATGCTCTAAACACAGAGTGTATTGAACTTTTTTTTTTGACAAGGATTTATGTAGAAAATTATGCTTCTACCATTAGCAATAGAGATTCTACTTTTAAAATTTAACCAATGTACCAAGATCTATTAGAATTTTTTTTTTTTGGACCTGAACATCCGGAACCATAATAAAATGATTTCAATGATTTTTGTTATGATTACCGACGACGATCATTGATGAGCTTATTCACATCAATCAATGATCGAATGAAAATAGGAATAGGAAATAGGACTTTTTCATCTTTAAATGACAATTAACAATGCATCCTCATTATCGTTTTTTCATTGTATTAATTCATCAACCATTTTTAACTTAAACAAACAACGGAAACTATTATGGCAAAATTTCCACTTGAATAAAATTTGTCCAAAATGGAAAGCTTAAATTAATTTCTTTCAAAAAAAAAACAAGTGTTGGATTGTGATTTGGATTTTCTTTTCTTTTCTTTTTCATATTGTTCAATGCCGCAATGTATGTATACAACATATTGGTGTTCAAGGCAAATCTTTTCTTTTTTTTAAGCAACAATTTCGACAATTCCTTGACAGACTTAAATGAAACAAATTGCGTTTCCCTTCAACGATTATAATATTTTCGAATCCTGGCAAAACAAGTTCAAACTAAATCATCAATGCTGTATTTCAGATAGATTGTCAAACGATTGCGTATGATTTTTTGGAAATGAAATGAAATTTTTTTCATCATACAATATTTTTTTCAAAAGAAACGATACAGAAATGTTTGAATCACCCGATCGATTGTATGATTCGAATAGTATGCTGAATATTTTTTATCTTAGTCTTTGGTTTCTATCTCCTTTTTCAGATTTATTCATTACATAACAATGTTTTGGGTGCCTTTTTAAATCCAAATTTAATCCAAAAATAACTATTTTTATCCACTATTATTCATTTAGCCATTTACAAAAAAACAGTTGACTATATAGTAATGATTGCCATTGATCATCATCAAATAATTGTCCTTTTTTTTCAAATCAAATCCATTCATTCATTCATTCATTCAAGGTTTGGCTCTTTTGGATACCAGATTTTTTTTTGAAGAATCTTGACATTGACCTAAATAAATCTTCAAAACAAAACAATACCAGGCAAGCAAACAAACAAATAAAATGACATGTTGTGTTCGGTTACCTGGCTATTCGCCAACAACAAATCTAGTCAGGGTGTGTGTGAGAGAGTATATGTGTTTGATCTAGTTTGGTAACGAAACAATCATTCGATATTCCGGTTTCTTCACCTTTTTCTTTGATTTAAATTAGAACATTCAACAACAACAACAAAAAAAATAATGAACTTTTTTTCACAGTAAACCTGAGAATGGATTTAAAATTGGGAATCATCATCATCATTATTATTATTATCATTTGATGATTTTGATTGCAATTATTGTTTTTTTTTCTACCATTTCAAATGATTTATAATTAAATCACGCAAATAAGATAATGATGATTACACTAAAATGTTCTCACCACAATAACATACATTTTTTTTTTTGAAAATGTTCATTTCAAAATTCAAACAAACGATGGCGTTAGTTGAGTATATAATTTCGTTTTTTTTAATGTTCGAAAAATAATATCCGGCCGACTATCACGAGATGAGCCACAATCTCAATCACAGTGAAAATGATAATTATTAACCAACAAAACAATAATTATAATTTCTCATTTTTTTGGTAAAAGAATGAACAGATTTAATTGACATTCGATTGTTTTGTTTGTAAATAAGTTTTCGTATTTTTGGATTCTTATTTTGTAGTGGGAGTATTCGTAATTATTTTCTTAAATTATTCATCACTTGACAATGTGAATACAACGATGAAAACAACTTGTATACATCATTATTGACAATGAAATTAGATTTTCAAAATAAATTATTTCGAATCGGATATCGTAATGTTGGTTAATTTTTTTGATTTTATGATTCATATTTATTTTAAAATTTATTTTCTATCAACTTTTAGGTTCTTCCATTTACCAATATTGATCCAAGTTTGGAAATTTTTGCGGGTATCGAAGGAAAATTAATCCAAATTATTGCTGATCATTTTAATTTTACAATCGAATTTATTGAAAGTCATTATGAAGGTCGATTGAAAGACATTAATGGTAATTGGACTGGACTAATTGGACAAATTCAAGAAGGTCGATTTGATATGGGTATCGGTGCCATCAGTATAAATTACAATCGAATTTTTGCCGTCAATTTTCTTGAACCACATTATATTGACTCATTTACGTTTATAACAAATCCAGCTGCTAAACATATCGGTTTTGATGTTTTGATGCGACCGTTCCGTCATGAAGTTTGGTTTGTATTTTTTTTCATGCTCATAATCGCTTCGTTATTTCAGCAATTTGAAAAGTATATGACATCAATCACCAACATTGTACGCGATCAGAAATCATCAACATCAAAACATAACATTTTCTGGATTAATTTGTGCCTTTTGTTTCGTCAACCATATTCAAAACTTGTTCAAATAAATCTTTCATTGAAAATATTTGCCATTATATGGGCGATTTCGGCCTTAATTCTCACCAATTCATATGCCGGTTGTCTTTGTTCAATCATGGCTTTGCCATCTGAGCAGGTTATTGATTCGGTTGAAAAATTAGCCATGGAATGTCGGCTAAAACATATCAGCACAATCGGCATCAATACTGATTACTACACCTCAATGAAGGTAAAGAAATGATCTGCTTCTTTTCATTCTAAATTTCATTCTATTAATTGCAGAATAGTTCAAATCCCACATTGCAAAATATTGGTCAGGATATGAAATTCGTATCGGACCGACATAAAGGAATTCAAAAGGTGCTTTCATATGCAAGTCGCAATCATAACTATGCATTTCCAGGTTCACATGAGCAATTTTTATTCACCAAAATAATGATTGGATGGAATCAACTTTACCTGCCACCATCTACAGCATCCTTTTTTCCTCTTTTCTATGCTATTCCGGTACCAAAAACTTTCATTTACCGAGATGAATTTAATCAAATGTTAGTAAGATTCTCAAAAAAGTTTATTTGTTAAATTTTTTTTCTTTACTTTAAGAATCAAACACGCGAATGAAGCCGGCTTCCTGAAATGCTGGAGATTATTGGAAATTCTCAAAGTATTTCGAAAACGTCGAAAAAATGCTTTGGAAAAGGTGAAAATACAGTCCTCATCATCATCGTCTTCTTCCTCTTCAGCTAATATAAACATAAAATACCATCGGTTCTCTATGTTACACATGGAAATCATATTCGAACTTTATCAAATTACATGGACAATAGCCATGATAACTTTAATATCGGAATTATTCATTTATTATCGATTAATGTCCAGGTTGATCTCAAACATTAATAGATTATTTAATCATATCACCAATCAATATGATCGGCATGGATAATAGGTTATGCGAAAATGTCTTGAAAACCAAAATTTCCTGTACATTATGATGATAAAGGCCATAAATAATTTTCCCAGATAATTAGTAAATAAATTATACATAATTATATACTTGCCTGTTATTATGACGACAATTTGCTAAAAAGTAAAAAAAAATAACTGTTCAATTGATTTATTGTCTACTTTTCAATCGATTGTGATTTAATTTTATTTTTCGAAATGAAATTGAATTTACAACAACAAAATCTGCTTGTAGCTTTTATTGAGGTAAGATGAATGTTTTTCTTTAAATTTATTATATTTTAATCAGAATGTCTTTAGGGTTTACCTTTTACATTGGTCAATCACTCTAGTCACACGGCCGATGGAATTGAAGGAAAATTATTATCAACATTGGCTGAGTATTTTAATTTTACCACCAGTTTTATTGATTGTATTGATGATTTTGGTGCCTTGAAATCGAATGGAAATTGGACCGGTTTAATTGGAAAAATATTCTATAAAGTGAGTATGAGTAAGCCATTGCATAATATTCCAATTTTAATCAATGCTATTGCATAGGAGGCTGATTTAGGTTTTGGTGGTATTGCAATTAGTCACGAAGAATTACGCGACGTCCAGTTTTTCCATTATCATTGGATTGATCAATTTGGATTCGCTACCAAAAATTTTATAAATCCAATCGATCCTGACATTCTTCTGAAGCCATATGATCGCACAGTTTGGATATGCCTTTTGATAAGTTTAATCATCGTCTATCTGTTAAGCCTGTTGCAATCATATTTCAACTCAAAAGAATTATCTAATGGCAGTCTATTCTGGTTGCAAATATGTGCATTATTTCATCAATCTTATGATAGTTTGTCTAAATTATCTTTGTCATTTAAAATTTGTGGTATCATTTGGATATTTGCCATGATGATTTTTACCAATTTATATAGTGGAAATCTTTGTTCAATTTTAGCAACACCATCCAGTCATCCGTTTTCAACTATTGAAAAATTAGTACAAGCATGCCATTGTGGTCTGATAATACCGTTAGGATTGGATACTCCATTTTATGACAATCTAATCGTTTCTAAATATTTAAAAATAGTTTCGAGAAAAGAAGAAGCTATACAGATGATAATTTCACCTGGATTTCATAATGCCAAACATTATGCTTTTATCTATTCTCGTGAACGATTACGTACAGCTCGAGCCTTTCATGGTTCGAACATACTTTACATTCCGCCACGAACTGAATCTACCTTTTTCCCAATGATATTAGCCATGCCAGTTCGAACGGATTTTCCATATCGAAAAAATTTTGATAGAATGTAAGTGATAACATTCAATTAAATCAATTGTTGAATAAATGGAAAATTTTTGTTAGCATATCTCAATCATTTGATTCTGGATTAATTAAACAGTGGTCAAATCTTCAAACATTTGCTATCAGTCTTCGGCATAGAGGAGATAATCACAATGATATTATTGAAGATGCGAATGAAATTATCGGCAGTTTTACTTTGCAGCAATTGAAAAGTTTATTCATATTATATTTATTATGTCTATTATCGGCTTTATTTTTGTTCATCATTGAAATTTGCTCTAAAAACTCATGGTTTACCAACAACATTCTTAATTGAGCTTTTAATCAACACAATTCAATAAATGTATTGTCAACACAATTAATAACTATTAATAACAATTAATAACAATTAATAACTATTAATTAATAACTATTAACACAATTAATAACTATTAATAACAATTAATAACAATTAATAAATGTATTTAATCAACACAATTCAATAAAATAAATCAATAATTCAATAAATGGTTGGTGTATCTAATGCAACAATTTATTACTATAGCGATAAAAATAGAGTATTATACAACCATATTAAGAACTTTAAGGCCTAAATGACCTTACAATCATTTTGAACATTATAATTAAAGATAAGGCAATCATTTTTTTTTCAAATATTAACAACATTCAAACAATGCTTGGTTATAGAATCAGTCGTTTTCAAGAAATGTACTATTCTAATCATACGATTTTTTAGTCTGTCGAAAAATTCGCACCATGAAATTATTTTCGAATAAAAGAAAAAATATTATGACAAGACACTTTATATCGATTGATTATTTCTACTTGATAGATTTGAATAAAAAGAAAATTCCTTGATTTTTTTTTGTTTGAGTCTCACATACATATTTCGAAAATAAAAATGAAATTGAATTTCGCTCAAACACTTTTCAAAATCGGTTTTGTCAATGTAATTTATCTAATAGAATCTTAGCCTGATTAACCACTTTGTTCGTATTTTTTTTTCTTTTGTAAAGGATTTACCGTTTTTTTCATTCAATCCAACAAATCCCAATGAATCCTATGGAATGGATGGAAAATTATTCAAAACATTGTCTAACCATTTTAATTTCACCATTCAATATGTTGCTTGCCAAAGTTTTGGTATACAAAATATTTTGGGTAATTGGTCCGGTATTGTAGGAAAAATTATTGAAGAGGTTTGGATATAAAATTTTTTATCAATTTATTAATCTAATTTTGTTGTTTTTTTTCTAAAAATAGGAAATCGATTTTGGTGTTGGGGGTGTTGTGATGAATCACGAACGAATATTAGTTATACCATTTCTAGATACTTATTGGATGGATCGATTGGCGTTTGCTATTCGGAAACAGCAACCACATCTCGATTTTGATATCCTACTTAGGCCATTTGAACTCGATGTTTGGCTATGTTTATTAGCCACTTTTCTCTTGTTTTTTATTTTTGATAATTTGATGAATCGTTTGTTTCCTCCAAAATCTTCACTGCCAACTGGTCATCAAATTGATAGTTTAGATAATCTTTGTTGGATAGATTTCTGCCTATTATGTCGACAACCTTATCCATGGCTGGCCAGATTGAGATTATCAACAAAAATCTGTACAATAATTTTCATTTTTTCGATTTCAGTACTTTCAAACAATTACGGTGGTGGCCTTTGTTCTTTGTTAGCCGTACCGGCTAGTGTATCCATAGATAATATAGATAAATTAGCCGATGCTTGTCGCTCCCATCGCATTATACCATTGAGCTTAGATGCTGGATATTTCCAAAAGATGAAGGTATTTTATTTCAAACTAAACTTTATTTAACACTAATAAAATGATTAAAGGACACAAACATCTATTCGTTTCGGGAAATTTCTCAGACCATTCAGTCTGCAAAAAATCGTGAAGAGGCCATTATGAAGATTTTGAATAATTCAGGCAGTGAACAACAGCAATATGCTTTCCTTTATCCTCGAGAACGTCTTCGATTTTCGCAGCTAAGAGCGGGTAAAGATTTGTTATACGTTTCACCGGATACAGAAGAAGCATCATTTTTCCCGTTGCACATTTCGATTCCTACTCGACCAACCTTCAAATATCGGAAAGAATTTTCTCGAATGTAAATTATTTTAAGTGTTGTTTTTTTAAAAAAATATTTTAATATATTTTCTGTAGAATTCAACAGATCCAATTTGCTGGTTTACTTAAACGATGGAGAAATCTAGAAATTATTCGAATAACACTGAAAAAAACAAATCAAAATACATTGGAACCGGAATCTGATTCGTTAACTGAAAATAAGATTAAAGTTATCAAAAAATTTAACTTGCAAAATCTTCAATCAATATTCTATGTTTATTTTATTTGGATGAGCATAGCTGTCATTTCTTTAATCATGGAAATCAGTGTGAGATATCTATCCATTTTTATGATCCTTTCATGATCTTTTTTTGACCAAAAAATCATTGAATTTTTATAGAATTTTCATATGTATTTTATTTTATCAATTTGTTTAAATAAAAATGTAATCTAATCTAACTAGTTTCTATTTTAAGATCGGTTATTATTTCCGGTTATAATGAAAACATAAGGCAATCTTTTGTTTTTGGAATGTTGCTAACATTGCAAAAATGCTTGGTTATGGAATCAATCTTTCCCATGAAATATACTATTTCTAATCATGAGAATTTTTTTTTGTATGTCGAAGAATTCACACCATAAAATTATTTTGGAATAAAAGGAAAAAATACGATACAAAACTTTATAACAATATCGATTATATAATGACTTGTACTTGATGGATTCGAATAATGAAAAAATTCCTTGATTTTTTTTTTTCGTTTTGGTTTCATACTCATCGAAAATAAAAATGAAATTGAATTTGGAACAAAAACTTTTCAAAATCGGTTTTATGAATGTATTTTATCTAATAGAACTGGTAACCTGATTAATAACTTTTCTTTTTTTTTGTTGGTTAAGGAACTACCGTTTTTTGCAATCAATCCGATAAATCCCAATGAATCTTATGGAATTGATGGAAAATTATTTAAAACGTTGTCTAATTATTTTAACTTCAGCATTCAATATGTCGCTGGTGAAAATTTTGGTATACAAAGCGGTCCGGGTAATTTTTCCGGTGTCTTAGGAAAAATCCTTGAAGAGGTAAAATTTTTTATTAATTTATTAATTTAATATGATTGGTTTTTTCAAAAATAGGAACTCGATTTTGGTGTTGGAGGTTTTGTAATATCTTACGAACGAATGTTATTTATACCATTTCTAGAAACTTATTGGATGGATCGATTGGCGTTTGTTATTCGGCCGCAACAACCCTATCTAGCTTTTGATATCCTACTTCGGCCATTTGAACTCGATGTTTGGCTATGCTTATTGGCAACTTTTCTTTTGTTTTTCATTTTTGATCAATTAAAGAATCGTTTGTTTTCGCCAAAATCTTCAGTGTCGATTGGTCAACAAATTGATAGTTTGGATAATCTTTGTTGGATCAATTTCTGCCTATTATATCGGCAACCTTATCCATGGCTGACCAGATTGAGATTATCAGCAAAAATCTGTGCAATAAGTTTCATTTTCTCTATTTCAGTACTTTCAAATAATTACGGTGGTGGCCTATGTTCTTTATTAGCCCTACCGGCTAGTTCATCCATAGATAATCTCGACAAATTGGCTGATGCTTGTCGTTCCAATCACATAATACCGTTAGCCTTAAATGGTGGATTTTTCCAAAAGATGAAGGTATTTAACTTCAAACTAAACTTTTTTATTACTAATAAAATGATTAAAGGGCACAAACATCTATTCGTTTCGGGAAATTTCTCGGACCGTTCAACCTACAAAGAATATGGAAGAAGCCATTATGAAGATTTTGAAAAATGAACAACAGCAATATGCCTTCCTTTATCCTCGAGAACGTCTTCGATTTTCACAGCTAAGAGCGGGTAAAGATTTGTTATACGTTTCACCGGATACAGAAGATGCTTCATTTTTACTTATGCACGTTTCTATTCCAACTCAACCAACATTCAAATATCGAAGAGAATTTTCTCGAATGTAAATTATTTTAAGCGTTGTTGTTTTTAAAAAATATTTCAATAATAATATATTTTCTCCAGTATTCGCCAATTTCAATTTGCTGGTTTACTACAAAAATGGAGAAATCAAGAAATAATCCGATTTACATTGGAAAAAACAAATCAAAATGCATTGGAAACTATTTCTGATCTAGAGCAGAAATCTGATTCATTTACCGAAGAAGACGTTACATTTAGCGAAAAATTTAACATGCAAAATCTTCAATCAATATTCTGTATTTATTTTATTTGGATAAGCATAGCTGTCAGTTCTTTAATTATGGAAATCAGTGTATACAAATTTTTGTCTAACAAACAACAACCGAAATCAATATAACATTTGAAATTAATATTTTAATGAAAATTCAATCAATGATTTATTGGTCAAATATATAAATAAAAAAGTCGAAAAAAAGTGAAATAAAATATTAGTTAAAATTCATCAGTTAAATTTCCGATTGTGTATATGTAAATGTTCATGCATAAATGTAAATGAATTTGAATGATCATATTGTTGGGATTTACAAACAAAAAAAGTTCAAGTTTCATATGACATAGGACTAGATTTTTTTTTAGGTATCGAGGTGGGCATGGATAAGTTATGTTGATCCGAATATAGATAAAAAACATAGATTATAGTAGAAAGGAATGTGTGTGTGTATGCATGTTCTTTGATCTTCGGTAAACAAAATAATTGATTTTTCATCAATATTAATTATTGTTTCATTCGCCATTAGGATCATTATCGTCCAAAAGATCATCCAAACTTTGAGCATTGCTAACCGGTCTTGATGTCTGTCGCAATTGTTCCTGCATGATCATCAATTGTTCTTGCATTCGTCGAATTTCTTCTTGTTTCATTTGCAACAATCGATCGGCTGATAAACCACTAGAATCCAATCTAATTCAATTAAATCAAATTATATAAACAGTATAAAACTTATAACAAAAACATACTCAGCAATACGACCACCATTCAATTGAGCCAAATAATTTGTTCGGTAATTTTCATAGAGAACATCGCTGGTTGAATCTTTAAGATCTTGCATATGCAAACTATGAAAAAAACCTTAAAATTATGATTTAATTATCTAAAGTTGAAATGATAATACCTAAGGAATGTCCGTAATTTGATAAAATCGCTATAACGTTCATCCTGTATGTCGACAATACCCCAAGGATATTCACGACCTCGAATACGACGACCATTCAGATCAATACTTGTCGTACTACCAATTATTGCGAATGGAATACTTTCACGAATTTCTTTATCTTTAATACGATACAATTCATCTTCATCACTATCGCATTCCGGAATTTTGAAGATGTTTATTCCATTCTCCTCTAATTCACGAAGAATTTTTTTCTTAAGCTGAGCAACTTCAATTGCTGTCAAAGAATCAGCTTTAGCAATTACAGGAACAATGTTGATTTTTGAATTTAATCGTTTCATGAATTGAATATCCAGTTGTGTAAGTCTTAAAATTAACAATAACATTGATATAATAAAATTATTTCGAATGAAAAGAAACAATCTTACCCACGACCGAATGGTGAAATAAAATACAAACAACAATGAATACGATTGTCAACAATGTTCTTACGATTCAATCCGGATTCATCCTTAAAGTATTGATTGAATTGTTCATCGATATAGTTTTCAACAATTTGAAAACTACCACTTGTGTTCAATGAATCACCAAATCCAGGTGTATCAACAATTGTCACACGAAGTTTGATACCTTTTTCAATGATATCCAATTGTTTCTTTTCAATGTTGACAGTTCGTTCGAGAAGTTTGTCTACCGAAGGTATTTTACGATCCTTGTATAAATCACCAAGAAAAAGACAATTTACCAAAGTTGATTTGCCAAGGCCTGATTCTCCAACCACCATTATGCTGAAATCAAATCCTTTTTTGGCTGATTTTCGATGAACATGTTCGGGCAAAGTTGCAAATCCAATTTCACCCTTTTATTTAGCAAAAAAAAAAAAAAAATGAATGAATGAAAAATATTTTTGACCAATTTTTAATTAAAATTTTTCTTATCGCTTACTCCAATCGGCATTTTTCAAAACAGGTTAATCAACAATTCTAAAAAAAACAAGGAATTTAATTAAGATAAGTTGCAAAAATGGATTCTTTACGAATAGCTGCCGTTAAAAAAGCCTACACCCGATCCCGATAGTTCGAGCGTAAATCGAACCCGAATACAAAAAAAATAAATACTATGATCGTAAAAGCGCATGCGTTTGAAAATGAGAGAAAGATTTTTTTTTCAATTTTTTTCTTCAGTATCATCAATTCCTTCTATTGCTATCGCAATCCTATTTATAAATCTTATCTTATCGATCGGATCATTATCAAAATCCNTTCATGCAACGATTAATCGAAATGACTATCGATAGTTTCGCTCACTCCGATTGTTGCAGGTTCTCCTCCCTCCTCCCCATATTAATTTAATTACACATAAATTAAAATTTAATTTTAATTTTATTGTTAATTAAAAAATTTGAAATTCATAAAAATCATTAATATTTAACATCCCACGTTGATCCATTCTTGTCCAGTTCCAAATCGATCCCAAATTGAATATTCGATGTCCAACGATCCCATTCATGTTCCAAGATTTAATGTCCAAATCTGATTCATGAAATTGAAAATTTGAATCCCATCATTCTCAGTGATGATCCTGAATTTAAAAGAATATTAGTTGATAGTTTCGATCATTGGATTCAAAAACTTACCATCATTTACTACAAGTATCCATTCCAGTTTGAAAATACTCGAATGATATCATAATTTTCGATCGTTTTTTGGTTNATAAATTAAAATTTAATTTTAATTTTATTGTTAATTAAAAAATTTGAAATTCATAAAAATCATTAATATTTAACATCCCACGTTGATCCATTCTTGTCCAGTTCCAAATCGATCCCAAATTGAATATTCGATGTCCAACGATCCCATTCATGTTCCAAGATTTAATGTCCAAATCTGATTCATGAAATTGAAAATTTGAATCCCAATATTCTCAGTGATGATCCTGAATTCAAAAGAATATTAGTTGATAGTTTCGATCATTGGATTCAAAAACTTACCATCATTTACTACAAGTATCCATTCCAGTTTGAAAATACTCGAATGATATCATAATTTTCGATCGTTTTTTGGTTCCAAAGTGTCACCAGGCATCGGACTCAATAGGAAATAGCTCAGACCATGTTTCCTAATCCTAATCTAACCTAGCCTATCCTATTGTTTAACATAGTCAAACTATTCTTGAATCAGATGCCGATGAACAATGGAATCGCAAAATCGATCGGGAACATGATAATCATTCGAATATTGTTTCGACATTCATTAGCAAAAACTTGAGGAACTATAGAGTGTAAAAATTACCTGGAATGTAAAGAATGAATTAAAATGTAAAGAATGATTAGAATGTAAAGTTACCTGGAAGTCAATCGATCCCGGAAATGCTAATTAGCACCATAATGAAACTGAAAAAATAAACTTGAAAAAATGTGATTAAATGAAAGTTTATTTAAAATGAAATATCATTTGACAATTACAAACTTGAATAAATGCCATTGAGAAAATGATCATTTTTCGTCGATTGCATCATCGCCCGTCCAAACAATTTTCATCAATTTCGTAGCTAATTTTTAATCTGAAACAAATGAAAGCATAAACAAAGATAATCTTTAATCAATAAAAGTGATTGTTCCAAAAATTTGGACCAAAATCAATAATTAAAATTGGAAAAAATAACTTACTTTTAATATCGAGCAGAAAAAACACGTTCGAAAAAACAACGTCAACAAGAAAAGTTCGAAATCGAATGACGAGCACAAATCGAACGTTTAACTAACTGCGTTTTACTAACGTTGCATTCTGATTGGACGATGGAAAAGTATAGAAAATAGTTAGCCAT